ACACGAATATAACATAGGTTGGCAAAAACAACTATTGTAGAAAGTTGGCATTCATTCACTACATTTACTCCAAACACACCGCAAAATCATACCTCCTGTCAAATTCAAATTATATTATAATTTCAAATAACAAAACAAGTGAAATCTTCAAAATGAAACCGCCATCACGATTTGTTTGAGGAGAAATCAAGTCTTTATTATTTAGATTACATGGTCACGATGTACATAAGTTGTGAAAAATGAAAATCATTGTTGGCAAAATAAAAAAAAAATGAAAATCATCACAACTAAAGTGTTTATTAGAAAATATTGGAAAAACAAAAAAGTAAACAAACATTTAAATGTCTAAAAAATCTATAACCATATTTTTTTTTATGATCAAGTCTTCTAATACCTCCAAGTCTTTTCCTTTTTTAGAAGAAAAATGGGAATATTAATGCATTCATTTTCATATCATTTTCCATTACATAAAAATTTAAATGTCTAAAAAATCTATAACCATTTTTTTTTTTATAGTCAACTCCTCTAATACTTCCAAGTCTTGCCATTTTTTAGAGGAAAAATTGGGATATTAATGTATTTATTTTCATATCATTTTCCATTACACAAACATTTAAATGTCTAAAAAATCTATAACCTTAATTCTTTTTCATGGTGAAGTCTTCTAATGCTTCCAATTCTTCCCATCTTTTACGGAAAAATTGGAATATTAATATATTCATTTTCATATCATTTTTCATATCATTTTTCATTACACAAACATTTAAATGTCTAAAAAATCTATAACTATATATATTTTTTTATAGTCAAGTCTTCTAATACTTCCAAATCTTCCCATCTTTTAGAGGAAAAATTGGAATATTAATACATTCATTTTCATACCATTTTCCATTACACAAACATTTAAATGTCTAAAAAATCTATAACCATTTTTTTTATGGTTAAGTCTTCTAATACTTCCAACTCTTCTTGTCTTTTAGAGGAATAAATATTAATGCATTCATTTTCATATCATTTTCCATCACACAAACATTTAAATGTCTAAAAAATCTATAACCATATATATATATATATATTTATAGTCAAGTCTTCTAGTACTTCCAACTCTTCCCATCTTTTAGAGGAATGAATATTAATGTATTCATTTTCATATCATTTTTCATTACACAAACATTTAAATGTCTAAAACATCTATAACCATACCTTTTTTTATGGTCAAGTCTTCTAATACTTGCAAGTCTTCTCATCTTTTAGCGGAAAAATTGGAATATTAATGCATTCATTTTCATATCATTTTTCATTTTTCATTACCCAAACATTTAAATGTCTAAAAAATCCATAGCCATATTTTTTTTATGGTCAAGTCTTCTAATACTTCCAAGTCTTCGCATCTTTTAGAGAAAAAAATTGGAATATTAATGCATTCATTTTCACATCATTTTCCATTCTTATCTTCTTTTCCCATTTCTACAACCAAATTGTACGGAATAAATTAGAGGATTTTTTTTAAATTCAATTAGATGTTTTCTGGGAATGCAAGTTTTAGCTTTTAAATTAAGAAAAATATCCTACAAATTATTATTTAAGCTATTTGTGTTCAGCTCATATTATAACAACGGGGTGCTTCAACATGTTTAAAAGTTCTTTCTAAAAGCATATTTTTATAAAGTGAGATAAACTTCTCCTTTTATATATATATATATATATATTTCATGTACTATAAAATCACTCTTAAAATTATGATTTGATTTCATCCAAACATCCCTTTTTAGGATGTTTAGTTTGAAAATAATTTTGAAACGACATGTGATGTTTTATGGTGACTAGTAATATTGATAAAGACATTGCCCCATTCAAAACGCTAATGTAAAATCTTCTTCCAAAATATACTCAAGTTCAGTCTCCACTGATTAATGAAAATATTGGAAAAAATCAAAAGTACACAAACATTTATATGGTTAAAAAATCTATAACCATATATGAACAAGCCTTCTAATACTTCCAAAGTCTTCCCATCTTTTTGATGGAGACAAATTTGGAATATTAATATATTCATTTTCATATCATTTTTCAATTTCTATCCACAACCAAATCGTTTAAGCACCCTCAAAAGATACCAGACGCATAAGCAATAAATTTTTTTTTCATTCAATAAGGGGTTTTCTGTGAATACAACTTTTAGCTTTTAAAATAAGAAAATTATCCTATAAATTATTATTTAGACTTTTTATGTTCTGTTCATATTGTCACAACATCAATGACACGTGGTGTTATAGAGAAATTGCACACAATCATATAAATCTCGAAACGATCATTTTGGTAATGGTTTTTCTTCTCTCTCTCTTTTTTTTTTTAATAATAGTTTGGTGATGTTTTTAATTCCAAACGAGAATGTTTGCAAATAATTCACACATAAATCAATTTTTTTTAATTTTAGCTTTAAAATGATCAAATCAATGCACTGCCTCATATTCTTAATATAAAAGTTACATAATTAATTTATAAATATTAAAAAAAATTAGTTTGGTTATTTGTAATAAATAAATATTGTTTTTTTTCTAAAATACTAATGTATTGAAACTATAATTTGATAGAAATTCCTTAGATGTGCAATGATTATAAGGTTATTTGAGAGCAAAATGAATAAATACTAGAGATAAAGTATATTAGAGTCTTATATTTTAAACTAATTTAAATTTTTTACTAATTCTTAAGGTACTTTGATGAGTACTTAATCTGGTTGCACTGTTATTGATGATATTTCAATCTTTGAGCTCATTAATGGAATCCAACATAAAGCTTCCATTTTTATCATCTCTTGCAATTTCCTTTGGTAGAAGAGATTCTCAACTGCAGGTGACCCCTAGTCAAACTGATACAACCCTTTTACCGGTTAAAACAGGTGCTTAGTGATAATCAGTGATAATAAATCAAGTTATTTTAATGGCAGCAACATACCTATTTTTTTTTAATTTCTTTCCATCAAAGAATCGTACAAATAGATGGTTGATTCCCCCAGATCTGCTTTTGATCGAAATAGTTTTACCATAGTGGGCAGCTACTTTACAGTGAAGGGGAGTAATGTAATATATTGTGGTAGTAATTGAAACAACAGATTCTCTAAGTGCATCACCAATTCATCATAGCTCATTGGAGCAACTTTGGAAAATATTTAACGATGCATTTGAATTATTTTATGATGATTTCTCTAACATGCACATCATTAACTATCTCTGATTTAAAGACCCATTGGCGAAACTCGTCTGGGAGTTCTTTTTTTCTTCAGAAAAAAAATCATTCATGCCTTTTGAAAAAGGCACTACATCAAGTTACCCAATATTTGGCAATCCAAAATCACAATTCAAAATTCTATTTTGTTATGTGATTTAGAGCCCATGTATGTTGGCTCTTGACACAAACAGAAAAGAGGAAGAAACCAATATTAGTTGAGCCTCTCTTACATAACAAACCAAGATTTAAGTTCCTATTCACATTTAAAATTTGACAATGCCTCCAATATAATTGCTGAGCAAAAAAAAAAAAACAAAGAGAAGAGGGAAAAAGTTAATACATGAGCAAATTAAAGAAATTTTGAAGGGGGAAAACTAACAGGTCCTGTCTTAGAAAGGCAATGTTAAGTTACTCTACTGGTAACGCTAAAGGTCTAACTTGTAAACCTCAAAGACAGAGCTTCCTCGTTTCAACGCAAAAGACTAAAATTACAGTAAATTTCAATATTTAAACTTACCTACTCTACAAATGATTTATAAGACCCGATAACCATTGTCTTGGGGGGGAAAGAAAACTAGATAAATAGCAAAAGACAAACATATTTTTTTGTTCACAACATGACTTGCTAAGTTGCTAGAAACCATATATCATATGGTGATCTTTGAGATTATTGTAAACAGATTTCAAATAGGTTGTACAGAATAACTAAGATATGTATGATATAATATGCCAATGTCTCTGTTTTTCACTTTTTCCGAACAGCATATGTCAAAATGGAACAGAGCGACTAAAATGTCAGAGTGATGACAATTGTACAATAAATCCAATAATCTATTTAAAATTGGAAACCCTTTCCAATCCTGTAATTCTATAAGACTTTGTTCAGTGACAACTGGGAAATACTGAAATAGAGAGCCTGTCATTCTACAAGATTAACCATCGGCTTAGCGACATATGATCTTTTTCTGGGGAGGCTCTTTACAGAGGTAAACTGTTAGAGTGCTTGACCGCCTTAAATGTCACAAACATACATAAGGAGAAGTGAGATCCAAGATTCCTACGAAAATAGAATTGTAATCAATTACAAGCATTTTAAATGTAGGAAATAGAGTTGTACTTGAGTAAAAGCCTCAAGCAACTTCCGTAAGTTGTTGCCAACTTGTGCCGTTTCTTTGTGAGATGGAATAACTAAATCTTAAATGCCTGGGCATCATATCCCAATGTATTATCTAGAACACTGAAAATGAAAGATATTAGTGCCAATGTCTTATCAAGAAGAGCAATTGTCTAATTGATAAATCAAACCAAAAGTAGAACATAGCACTTAAATAACATGTCAAAGAAGCAAGTGAAATGGTTAGGTCGAAACCAACAAACACAAAATGTAAGTTTCAAGTGCATGTAGGACCAAACTCTCAACTGAAAGAATATTGAATTCTGTTCTCAACATTCTCTTACCAATTGCAGGATTAACTTCAGTATAGGCGCGGTGGTTTATAACAATATGAACACCAATCATAATTACGTTAGAATGTGTTCCTTTAGTATATTCTATATCAATCATGCTTTAATAAATTACAAGCCAGAAACACAATCTTCCATTGAGTAGCATTACAAAGTTAATCATAAGCAGTGCAAATAAATTTTATAACAGCTAACGAGCAAAAAGGGGTAGCCCAAAAAATAGGAACCTTCATGATATACTTAAAACAAAATCTGCTGGAGGACACGAGAAGGAAAACATACAATATGGAACCAAGGACACTTCTCTACTCAGCAGAAGCAGCCTTCTTAACTCTTTTAGCTTTTACTTTCACTTCTCCACTTTCCTTCTTCTTCTTCTTGCCAGAAACTTCATCCTTAGCAGGTAAATCATTTTCCTTCTTTCTCTTCGGAGTCAAGCCATCTTTATTACTTTTATCCTTGTTCTTGGCTGCCTTCTTCAATTTTTTCTCACTATTCAGCTCACTAAGAACCTCTTTGTTAGTTATTGATCCTTTCCTTTTCTTCTTATCTAGCACTGGTTCAATAGTCATTTCATCATTCTCATTATCTTCTTCTACATCCCCATCTTCCTCAACATCTGACTCATCTTGACTGAGTTCGTGACCTATATTATCATCCATGTACTGAACCTCATGGATCCTCCCCTTCTTCTTACCAACTTTAAGATCCTTCTTAGCCACATCCTTTTTCTTATCTTGCACATCCTTATCCTCTTCCTTAGCTTCCTCTTTTCTCTTAGCTCCCTCAATCTTCAATTTCATATCAGGAATTACCTGATAAAGCGGCAACGCAAGCGAATCCAACAATTTCAAATGAAAAGACCGCACAGAACCCCACCCTTTTGGCATGAGCTCCACACATCATTGATTGCCATAGCCACATTAGCAACAATCTCGTCCCTTTCCACTGACACTTTGGCAACTCTCACAACACTACACGTACCTGTCCTGAGGAAAAAGAACGCGGACGAGCATGCCCTCTCAATCTCCTCCTTCCAATTTTTATGAAGAACAGCACATTCTAATTATTTTATGATTATTTTTCTAAGATGCACATCACCAAATGTCTCACCACTTCGTCATACTCGCGTATTGCTGTGCATATTATTTGAGCCAAGTTTGTTATTTAATGTTTATTATGTTTAATAGCTGAGAGATTATATTATTTGATTACGTAACCTAACAAGGCATGACTCTGTTAATCTCAAACAGTATAGACCACAACGGAGCAGAGCATCTCAAGTGTCAAAACAGAATGTTATTATTAGATGATTTGATATCTGATATTTGATTTGATTCACTCTGTTGCAAGTTTCAAGTTTCGATACTGAAATCTTTCAATAAAGAGTCATATAATATCTTTTTACTTTGTAAATTCACATATCACATGGAACACCATTCATCAACAGGTTTCTTAACAACACGAGACACACAAAATTGTTATTACAACATGTTCTCTTCTCATAATTCACTAAAGTTTAGATAACAAAAGGACAATTGATAGGTTTGATCATGCTTCGCTGTAGCAGAACTCCTTATTCCTTGAAGCAAAACTCTGTATTTGAATAACGATCAGAGTGGTGATAGCTATTCCACTTGCATCCGATAAGCAAACCATATTGAAAAGTAAGCAAGATATAACATAATCAGCTAAAGAACAATGTTTTTTAAGCAAAAGAAAGCTAACTTAAATAATAACAACACTTGAAAAATCAAAGAAGCTCATTTATTACCTCAAGGGATATCTGTTACTAATACTCAGCTGAAGCTTTGAAGAAGAGGGCCTAGGCAACATAAAGTTGACCCGCCAAGTGATCATGCCATCGGAAAAATCTTCCCATCTTTTTGAGAAAAAACTGGGATATTAATACATTCATTTTCATATCATTTTTCATTCTTATTCAATTTCTACGGCCAAATCGTTTGAAACGCTTCAAAAAGATAAAAGTCACTTAAGCAACAAATTAAAGACTTTTTTTTCCATTCAATTAGAGGTTTTCTAGAAATACAACTTTTAGCTTTTGAAATAAGAAAAATATTAGCAAAGCAACATTGCCCATTTAAGAGTCAAAATCATTGCAGTATCGCTCCTTGTCTGACCACATTAATGTTGACTGTTAATCTTACATTAATTTTAGATTAAAGAGAATTTTTACATTAATATAAAAACTAGTTGAGAGATTGAATTTGATCATAGATCTTAATATACTTTCTATCTTATATTTATTATTTTTCTTCCAATTAATTTCTGTAACTTATAATTTAATGTTTCGCAAGATATTTGTTATAATTAACTAATTTACTTGACTTTTTAAATTAAATCAAATTATTTAAGTAACTCTTATATTAAAGATTGGATGTATTAATTATCCTAATCAATAAAGTCATAGATTGAATCATACCAAGATTTATATTTTCATGCTTTTCTTTGCATATTGTAATTTTTTTCTGAACATAGAGGAGGACCGACTTGTAATAAGGGGGGAAAAAAATACCTCATGCTATATAGTTCAAGTTTTGGATTTGATGTAAAATCCTCTTCGGGTCCCTAATTTTCAACTTGACAAGATTTATTCTGAGAACATTAGGAACAATTTTTTTTTTAATTTTTATTCTACCCCTTCAGTTATATAATTTAACACCAAAATTTCCCATCTATATCATCTCCTCTTTATTTGCATATATATATATATATAATATTTTCCTAATATTGAAGCCACCTTTTCAACTAATAATAGGACGTCATGGTGGATTGTTTACTGGATGAAGAAAGGGGGACCATTTTATTTACAGAAAACAAATCAGCATGTGTATTAACACAAAATTGACCAACTTTAACAATAAGAGTTGGGTCTAGCGAAATGGACTAATTCCTCACAACATAGTTAACTAAGGTTTGAATTCTGTTGAAAGAGATTACCACATTTAATACTTGACAGTACCTTGAATAAGATTGTTTCCAATAATATAATTAATATGCATAGCAAAAGAAAGAATAACTGATTTTAATTTGCATCACTAATAATATTGGGTCCAGTCCGTATCATAACACTACTCACTAATCCTTAATTAAATTCAATGAAATATTTATAATTAATTTCAAAATTTCTCTTGATCTCTTTTACCGTCAATTTATATATTTAACTAATTTAAATATTTTTCTTCATCTTAGAAAATGAGTTAATATGACTTTGTAGAAAATGTGGGAGGGAGTACTTGAAATGAGCTGATGTTAAGTAGGCATTAGAAACATGCTTGTGTTGCTCTGCATCTGATTATCTGAGCGAACTTTGTTATTTAATGTTCATTGAATTAATACTTCTCTGATATTAACTATAAAACTTATTTTATAAGAAATTATATTATAAAATGAATCTGAGGAGTAATTGAGATGTTATTTGAATATCTAGCCTGAACAAGGCATGACTCTGTTATTTGAAGCTACTCAAATAAACCAAAATGGAACAGAGCATCTGAAGCTTCGAAACAGAATGTTATAAGATCCTCTAATCTTCCACAAATTAATAGCTACTCACCGTAGCAAGTTACAAATTAGTATCCAACATGTTAACATACACATAAATCTTATCTTACAGATTACAACACTCACACTGCCTTTTCGTTTTGATTGTTACACTTACACCTGAAATCTCAAATACAGACGCAATAATATCTTTTTATTTGGTCCAAACTCAAGGCTAAACTTTACAGGACAATCATATATCACATTCAAGACTATTCATCAAAGGTTCCTTAACAACATGAGGTACCTAGACACACAAATAACTATTACTACAACATGTTCTCTTCTCATAGTTCACTAAATTTAAGATAACAAAATGACATTCAGTAGGCTACATTAGTAGAGTCCTTGAACATGTGAAACAGCAGCAAAGCTCCTTATTCCCTGAAGCAGAACTCAGTATTTGAATCAGAGGAACCATCAGAGTGGGGATAGCTGCTATTTCACTTGCATCCCATATTGAAAAACAAACAAGATAAAACAAAATCAGCTAAGAACAGAATTTTTTTAGCAAATAGAAGAAATTAAAAGGAAACAGGAAAATACTAACAATATTTGAAAAGTTAAGGCGTAGCTAATTTATTACCTCAAGGGAGATCTGTTTTTGATATTTGACCAAATCTTTTGAACCAGAGGGTGAAGGCAACACAAAGTTGATCTTTCAAGTGATCAAACCATCGGAAAAATCTGTGTCTCCATGCTCTGATGAGGAAGAGAGAACCACAAATTCCCCAGAAGCCCGCCGCAAATCCAACCCCCATGCCAAGATACAATGACTTCAGAAAGCCGCCGTCTTCATCTCCTTCAACTGGCTTTAAGTTGTCATGAGTTTCTTCTTTTTTGTTGCAGTTCTTTGGAAGAGGATCTCCACAAAGTTCACGATTGCCAACAAAACTCCAGGAATCAAAACTTTGAATTTGGGTTCCTAGTGGAATTTGTCCGCTGAGATTGTTGTATGAGAGGTTCAAACAAGCAAGAAAAGACAAATTAGATATGGTAGAAGGAATTTCTCCAGAAAGTCTGTTGTAGCTGAGATCCAGAGATTCTAAGTTTTCCAGGGCTCCAATTTCTTTAGAAATCTTTCCAATCAAATGGTTTCGAGACAGGTTTAAGGACCACAGTAGAGTAATACTGAATAATTCTTCAGGAATTTCTCCAGATAAGCTATTAGCAGAAAGATCAATAACACCCCTACTAAAATATGCATAAGGTCGATAGTCTGACTCTCTTCCCTTAGTAAATATGCGCATCATTTCATGAAGATCAAAATATGAGCTGATGTTATTTGGATTTGTGATGTTGCATAAGCAAGAAGGTATAGATCCAAAAAGCTTATTATTAGCTAGCTCTAGTATCCGCAAAGAAGAGAGCATGCATATTCCTGGTGGAATATTACCCATAAATTGGTTGGTCCTTAATTTAAGAACTTCCAAAGATCGTGCCATATACGGATTTGACAAACTTCCAGAAAAATTATTTTTCTCTAAAATGAGGTATCTTAAATTTGTCCAATTAAGCGTGCTTGATGAAAATTCACCAGAGAAACTATTATCACTCAAATCCAACTGTTCAAGTCCCAATGAAGCAAATGAGGGAGGAACTTTACCTGTTAGCTTGTTACTCCCCAAACTAAGGAATCCCAATGATTTTCGATTGGTCCAACAATCGGGAAGTGCTCCACTCAAATGATTATTTGACAAGTCCAATTCAAACAACTTGCTTTCTCCGTTACCCTCTAATTGGCACAATAATGAGAAAATAGATCCCAATAAGGAGTTATGTGATGCATAAAAATAAGAGACATTTGCTGATAGTGTGACACCGGATATGTCATCACTAATTAAGTTATCTGAGATATCAACATCTTCTATTCCTGCTACAAAGTTCCAAAATATATCCTTATCAATTGTTGAAATCCCTGATTTAGGAATATCTAGTCTCCGTAAAGACTGTTGTGTATATAGCCATGGTGGAACATTAGGACCTATGCTTATGTTAGCCATAGGCAATCTCTCAAGTTGAAATGATGGTACCCATTTAGGATCAAAGTCAGATGTGAAACTATTTGAACTTAAGTCCATTGATTTTAAACTTGAGAGACCGGCAAAAAAATTTTCCGTAAGAACACCAACCAAGAAATTGTGCCAAATGTCTAAAACAATTAAATTATGGAGTTGTCCCAAGGTTACTAGAATATTGCCGTTCAATTGATTGTAGGACAAGTCTAAGTGGAACAAGGAAGAAATATTTCCAAGAGACGATGGAATTATGCCATGGAACAAATTGTGATAGATATCCAAGTATTGTAACTGTTCAAATTGGCCTAACCAATCTGGAATTGATCCTTCAAAATTATTATACCTTAAATCTAAGTACTTGAGATTTTGAAGATTGAGCAAAGACTTCGGCAATTGTCCGTAGAAATTGCAATCATAAAGGTCAAGCTCATGGATGTGATTGGTGATATTAAAGAATGAATCAGGTAATTTTGACTTCACCGTATAAAAGTTTTCAGAAAGATCAAGAACTTCAAGTGACGTAAAATTGACATAATCAAGGGAAGGAAAATCTCTTAATCCACAATATCTCAAGTGTAACTCAGAGAGTGAAGGAAGCATGGCTATATGCTGGAGCCATTTGGTATCATCTCCAATATCACTGCCAGTGAGGTTAAGATATTTTAAAGAAGAAAGTTGGGAAAGCCAATGAAGGTCATTTATGACTAAATCATGATTATATGAAAAGTCAAGATAAAGCAGAGCAACAAAGAAACTTGTTGAGTGATTGGAAGGAGTGACAAGTGATTGGTTGTGAAATTTGTGAGCATCAAAGGGAGGTTTGGAGATTTGGCATGGTGCCATACTCACAGTTTCAAAGTCATTGTCGCTCAAGTCCAAGTGGTTGAGAAATTCAAGTTGAAGCACACACAGATTAATCTCACCTCCTAATGAATGATTGAAGAGAGAAAGCTCTGTGACTCTTCTGGTGATGTTGTGGCAGTGAACTCCCTCCCATAAACAGCAGTCTTTTTCAACACTCCAAGATGAGAGTTGGTTGGTCGGATCGACCACTCCTTGTTTGAAGATGAAAAGCAGACTTTGATCATTTTCATCGCAACTGATTACCCTGTTTAATGTTGTTGCAAATAACAGAAACAAGAAAAGAAAAGATATTTGTGAAGCGAAGCTCGCCATTGTCGTAAGTGAGTTCGAGTATGATGGCCTCAATGAAGTCTTTACATTTGATATGTGTGTGTGTGTGTGAATGTTTATAGACACACGCGCGTATATTGGAAAATCTAAAGTAAACAAAAACTTAAATGCCTTAAAAAATTGATAACCACATGATATTTCTTATTATCAAGTCTACTAATATCTTTAAGTCTTCCCGTCTTTTCAATACAAAATCGTGTCATGAATAAGAAAATACCACAGATATAATATATGACATATTTAGATCCTTTTAAAGTTAGCAGGCGTTAGGGAAAAACTGGAGAAAATTATGCGCAAAAACATTGAAGGCTAATAGCTCAATGATTTTATTTTATTTTTAAAATGTTTGAAAACAAAACAAATCCTACATGGGCTCCACATGGAGATTAAAGAATCATCATCACTATTTTATGACTTATAAATAAAATAACTTATGACAAATTTTGCATTTTATATTATTATTAATTATAAAAGGAGTATAAGGAGTATACAAACACGCACTCACGTAATGAACTCAAAGCGAATTAATTTTATTTATTTTTGTTTTAGTCCAGAAGTGAATAAATTAATTCAGATAATCAAAATTTGAATAAATATTTTGCTCTGAAGTTTGATTTTCTTGGATAAAAAATTCGACAAAATTTTAGTATGACCGGAAAATAATAAACCTTTTCTTATAAAATTTAATATAACCCAAAAAAATCATAATAATTCCGTTCGGACTCCAACTTTTCCTTTTATTCTTTTTAGCTTCCTTTTTTTTTTTGCCGTAATTCTATTTAGCTTATTTATTGCTTGCTGATTACTCCTTTCCTTCCTATTCACATGCCTTCCAAATACACGACACGTACATTCATAACAAAACTAAATGCCTTAGCTAAAATTTAATATAAATTCAGGCTTTAATAGGTTCAAAGAAAAATTGATCCTATATGCAAAATATTTGACTGGCGTCTAGATTTGATCATTTATGCTTTCTTGAACTGTGTTTAATTTGAATACATTATACTCCTCTGGTCCTTAATAGAGGACTTAATTATTAAGTTGATTTTGATCCTAAATATAAGACTTTTTTCTCATATTTATCCTTATAAATACTCCCTCAACCATAATTAAGTAAAAAATGAAGGAAGGATATTAAGAAAGATGATTACAGTGTTTTAGAAAAAACATGTTATATTTTTTATAATTAACTAACTTACTTAACTTCTTTAATCTAATTAAATTAGTTAAATGCGTCTTATATTAAGGACCAGAGGAGTATAATGTAGGTTTGCATGAAAAAATACTGTAGAAAGTTTGCATTCATTCATTATCTTTACTCCAAACACACCACAAAATCAGAGCTCTAAATTCGAATTACATTGTACGTTGAAATAACAAAGCAAATGAAATTTTCAAAATGAACCTGTCATCATGATTTATTTGAGCAGAATTAATTCAATTAAGTCTTTAGTTAGATTACATGGTCACGAAGTACATATATAAGTTGTGAAAAATGAAAATCATTACAAATAAATTGCTTATGAGAAAATATTGAAAAAAAAATAAAAATGGATAAAAAATCTATAACCACATTTTTTTTATGGTCAAGTCTTCTAATACTTTCAAGTATTCCCATATTTTCAAAAAAAAATGGAATATTAATACATCCATTTTCATATCATTTCCCATTCATATTCAATTTCCGCAACCAAACTGTGTGAACATTTCAAAGATAAAAGTCCCTTAAGCAATAAATTAAACGATTTTTTTCCATCCAATTAGGGGTTTTCATTGAACGCAACTTTGAGCCTTTAAAATAAGAAAAATATCCTATGAATTATTATTTAGACCTTTTATGTTCAATTCAGACCATAACAATATCACATGTGGTGTTAGAGAGAAACTGCACACAATCATATAAATCTTGAAACGATTGTTTTGGGGATGTTTTTAATTTCGAACGAGAGTGTTTGCAAATAATTCACACATAAGGCAAATTTTTTTTGTTATTTTAGCTATAAAATGAACAAATTAATGTATTCTCTATATCTTGATTTCAGCTATATATATAAATATATATAATATCTTGAAACAAATATTCGTTTTTGCATCATAAAGTCTGTTTTAAGTAGAAAGTTTTTGGAGCTAAGAGGCGGAGAGAAAATTTGCAAATCTTTGAGTGTGACCTAAAATTTAAGTTTACATCTACATTTCAAAAAAAAAATTGCATATAACTTTTCAAAACATCAAAGATTTAAAAAAATAAAACAGAGAAGACACAATTAGATTATAAGGTCATCCAACAGGATTGGGTTTAGCAGAAGAGGCTAATCCTTCAAAACGTGACAAACTAATGTTCAAATCTCTATTGAGAGAAGGTCTGCATTTAGTGGCAGACAGTGCCTTAAATAGGATTATCTCTAATAAAAGAATACTTATGTGTCAAAAAAAAAAGATTGTAGGTTTAGATTAATAAATTTAAAATGTTTACATTATGACAAATGGTGAAATTAAGTATTTTGGAATTTTTAATGAAATATTCTTGAAGGTATTAAAAATTGGACTAAAAAGTGTTTCTTTTGAAAATAGAGGCGACCTTTAGTAAATTAGAGAAAGGATGTCATTGTATTTTTTTTTCCCCATGAAATAAGGATATTTCCAAGTCACATTAAACTTGAGTCTAATCCCTTTCGGGCCTAAAGGAGTTAAGGAATAAGCCTCTCAATAAGTGTGCTTCTTGAGATTTGAACTTGTGTTCTTTTTCTTACAGAGGTGAGGCTGTTATCACCTCAACCAACAGCTTGTTGATGATGTTATTGTATTTTACTTTTATTTAACATTTTTTCCCGGTAAAAAGGTGATTGAAAAATTAAAGAAAAAAAGAATGTATGTGACATGTTGAAGAGATTGTCTTGTCCACATAACACTTTTAAAAGTCTTCGCTTCAAATTATACTCAGTTTCAGTCATTTACTCATTAATAATTTTACCGGAGCTTTCACTCTTATCATCTCTTATCATCTATCATATATTCAGATCCTTCTAAAGTTAGTAGGTGTTAGGGAAAAACTGGAGACAATTATGTATGAAAATATCGAAGGCCAATGGCTCGGTATTTTTTTTTTATTTTAAAAATGTTTGCAAACAAAACAAATCCTATATGGGCTCCATGGGTGGCATGCAACTTAATAGAATAATCAGTACTATTTTATGACTTAAAAATAAAATGAATTATTATAAATTTTGTTTTTAATTAATAAAGGAGTACACTTACTCAAGTATTGAGTCAGAGTGAATTAATTTTATTCAATTTTATTTTGGTCCCGAAATGAATAAATTAATTCATATCATTGAAATTTGAATAAATATTTGTGATCTGAAATTTGACTTTTATAAATAAAAATTTGGACAAAATTTTAGTAAAGATGAGTAACCGGCGGGTTGGACAGTCTAGGGGTCATCCCGTAGCCCACCCATTTAAATTTAAACAGGTACGGGCTAGTCCGCATCCGTTAAAAACTCATTTAAGCATTCATTTTCATATTATTTTCTATTACACAAACACATAAATGTCTAAAAAATCTATAACCATATTTTTTTTTTATGGTCAAGTCTTCTAATACTTCTAACTCTTCCCATCTTTTAGAGGAATGAATATTAATGCATTCATTTTCATATCATTTTTCATTACACAAATATTTAAATGTCTAAAAAATCTATAGCCATATATATATATATATATATATATATTTTAATGGTGAAGTCTTCTAATACTTCCAAGTCTTCTCATCTTTTAGAGAAAAAAATTAGAATATTAATACATTCATTTTCATATCATTTTTCATTACACAAACATTTAAATGTCTAAAACATCTATAACCTTTTTTTTTTTATGGTCAAGTTTTCCAATCTTTTAACAGAAAAATTGGAATATTAATGCATTCATTTTCATATCATTTTTCATTACCCAATCATTTAAATGTCTAAAAAATCTATAGCCATATTTTTTTTTTTTTATGGTCAAGTCTTCCAATACTTCCAAGCCTTCACATCTTTTAGAAGAAAAATTAGAATATTAAAGCATTCATTTTCATATCATTTTCCATTCTTATCTTCTTTTCCAATTTCTACAACCAAATTGCAAGGAATAAATTAGAGGATTTTTTTTTTCATTCAATTAGATGTTTTCTAGGAATGCAACTTTTAGCTTTTAAATTAAGACAAATATCTTATAAATTATCATTTAAACTTTTTGTGTTCAGTTCATATTATAACAACAGGGCGTTTTAACATGTTTAAAAGTGCTTTCTAAAAGCACATTTTCTTAAATTGAGATAAACTTCTCCACATATTTATTTTATATATTATAAAATTACTCTTAAAATCATGGTTTGATTTCATCCTAACACCCTATTTTAGGATGTTTAGTTTGCAAATAATCTTGAAAGGACATGTGATATTTTATGGTGACCCGCAATGTTAATAGAGACATTGGCCTATTCAAAACGCTAATGTGAAGTCTTCTCCCAAAACATACTCAAGTTCAGTCTCCACTAATTAATGAAAATATTGGAAAAATCAAATGTACACAAACATTTATATGGCTAAAAAAATCTATAATAATATATAAACAAGTCTTCTAATACTTCCAAAGTCTTCTTATCTTTTTGATCGAGAAAAATTTGAAATGTTAATATATTCATTTTCATATCATTTTTTAATTTCTGGTCACAACCAAATCTTTTAAGCACATTCAATAGACACCAGACACATAAGCAATAAATTAATTTTTTTCCAATTCAATAAGAGATTTTTCTGTGAATACAACTTTTAGCTTTTAAAATAAGAAAAATATCCTATAAATTATTATTTAGACCTTTTATGTTCAGCTTTATGTTCAGTTCATATATTGGTAACAACATCAATGACATGTGGTGTCCCAGAGAAACTACACACAATCATATAAATCTTGAAAAACAATCATTTTGGTGATGATAT